AGAGGCTTGTGTCAGTTTCTGCTGACGGATATATTGTTTATTTTTATATTCTTTATTTTTGGAGACTCCTTCTCCCCTTTTGGGGCAGGGGAAGGAAGTGTTGGCTCCTTTTTTTCCCCCTTCTCCTCATACTTTTATGTCATATATGAAAAAGGTGATCCTGCCTTAGTTGAATGCCGCTTGGATTGAAGACTGGCTCCAAGTGTCACCAACACTGCCTGTTGATAAAGGTGACAAGTTTATTGCTTACTGCAGTTGGTCGGGAAGAACATCATTGGCAGCATGTCAGGCAGACGAGTATCCCATCTGTAGGGTTCCACCAGAGAAGCAGCAACATAGGGTAGAGATAGAGATTTAATCCCAGGAATTGCCTTACATGACTGTGGGGGCTTCTAGGCAAACTCTAAGTCCACAGCCCAGGCTGAAACTCCAGGGCTCTGACTGAGTCTGCTGTCCACAGGTGGAATTGTCCCACTTCAAGGACTCTTCTCTGCTTTTAATGCCTTTCAAGTTGTTGAATCAGGCCCTCTCAGATTACTTGGTATAATCTCCCTTACTCATAGTCAACCGAGTATGGATTTTCTTCACATCTGCAAAAACCTTCACAGGCACACCTACATTAGGATTTGAATAACCAGAGACTATAGCCTAGTCAAGGTCATACATCAGAAAGACTACCTTTAAAGAGAAAAAGACTGTCACAGAAAGTGAAATCACAATGTCCTGCAAAGTGGGAGTTTGAGGTAGGGTGTGGTACTCGTGCACTCTGAAGGGCTGAGGGTGGTGGACTGCTTAAGCTCAGGAGTTCAAGAGCAAGCTCAGCTCTTAGCAAGAGCAAGACCCCATCTCTACTAAAAATAGAAAAAATAGCCAGGAGTTGTGGTGGGCACCTATAGCCCCACCTACTCAGGAGGCTGAGGGAGGAGGATCTCTCAAGCCCTGGAGTTTAAGGTTGCTGCTCAAACAAACAAGCAAACAAAACCAAATGAGAATTAGACGTCTGATTTAGGTAGGTCTGTCACGGCATATTTGGGTCATGATACAACAGGCCAGAATTGGTGGAAGAGCAGAAGAGCAAGGGACTCAAAAACTCATAGAGTGAAAACAACTAAGGTTTTCCACGTAAGAGTTTGTGGGCCTTTCAGCAAGTCCCTGTGCTGAGCAGTCATGCCATTTGACAAGGCAGCAGACTTCTGGAAGAAGACAGTTATGCTATGAAGCCACAGGGAGAATGTGAAGCACTGTTACTGCAGGCAGTGTAAAGTTTGGGTTCTTGTGTCCAGTGACTGTGAGGATGGGCTGGACAGTTTCTCTTCTCCGTGCAGATCCCCCCACCCTCCATGCCTTTCTCATGAAGCAGGACACACCACTTTCCCCAAAGCACAAGCTTTGTGATTCTTCTCCTTCCTGGACAGAAAGGCTGGCCATGCTGCCCACTGGTCCCTCCACAGAGGACACATTCATGAATAGCCAATCAGAGCTAGGCTTTCACCCACCTCCTTTGGCTCCTCCTTTTTTTATTTTTTATTTTTTAAAGAATTTTTTAAAAAATTCAAATGAATTTGAGGGTACTTTTGATTGGATTACTTTGTTTGCATCTGTAAGGTGAAGTCCAAGATGGCAGTTGAGTCCGTCCCCCCAGGTGTGCTGTGTACCTACCTACACTGTGCACACTCTGGTAAGGTGGGGACTTGCCAGAGCCCCTCCCTCTCCTTGAATTTAAAGTGTTTTTTCTCTCATGCAGGCCTATAGTTGTTGATCTACTAGTTTCAATTTAAAATTGAGTACATGGGATGCTTGTTTTTCCATTCTTGAGATACTTTATTTAGGAAAATGTTCTCCAAATCCATCAAGCTAAATGCAAAAGATGTAAAGTTTTCATATTTTTATGGCTGAATGATATTCCATGGTATCAGAGTTTATTAATCCATAAACATATATCAGAGTTTATTAATCCGTTCATGGGTTGATGAGTACTTGGGTTGTTTCCCCATCTTTACACCTGCAAACTGAGCTAATGTCCTTATGATAATACAATGGTTTTTAGTGGGATTGTGGGATCAAGTGGGAAGTCTCTCCTTTTAGCTCTTTGAGGATTCTTCATCCTTCTTTCCAAAAGGTCTGTACTACTTTGCCGTCCCATCAACAGTCTGTAAGCGTTCCCTTCTTTCTGCACCCACACCAGCATCGGAAGCTTTGGGACCTTGTGGTGTGGGCTGTTCTCACTGGGGATAGGTGGTGTCTCTGGGTGGTTTTGATTTGCATTCCTCTGATGATTAGGGATGATGACAATTTTTTTCATGTGCTTGTTGACCATTTGTCTGACCTGTTGGGAAAAGGTCTGTTCATATCTCTTGTGGTTTCATAGTGTACTGGTGAGCACTCTGGACTCGGAGTCCAACCCCTTTTTTTTTGAAATGGCTAAAGGTCAGTCTGCCTTTCTACTGGCAGTTCTTCCTTTTCTTCATTCATTCCTGGCTTCAGTGACTACACAGACTCTTCTCTGCTCTGTGGGGATGTCTTGTCCTTTCAGGCCTCAGAGCTTTGAGATGTGCTGTTTCCCTGTCTCTGGTGAAACCTTCCTCTTGCCGAGCCCTCCTCCTACCTGGCACCCCACACATAGCTCTGGGGGTGGCAAGGAAGCCCTGGGAATCTGCAGAGTGGTCCTTAACCCCAGTCTTACTTCTTTGTTCTCACGTATGTTGACTGACTGGGTAACTAACCCCTCTAAGGATAAGTGTAGAATCTAGATCTTACCTTTTTCAGATAGATAGAGCACAGCCTCCAATCGCTTGGGTTTGAGTCTTTTCTCCTCTATTGCTCCAAGATCTTGGCCAAATAACTTACCCTCTCAGCAGCTTTCCTTTCTAATATTTGACATGGGCATAGCGTTATTGTGATGGTTAAATAAGCATGAAAATCAAATAACCCAGTCCATTGCCTTTCAATAAATGTTAGTGTATTGCTATTATGGGGAATGCCTCTTTATAATTCCAAATTTCCAGGAGGAGAGATTATTTCTGAACCCTCTTGGCCTCTTCATACCCTCAGGGCCTCTTTCCCTAAGTGATTGGAAAATTTGGGAAGAACAGACTGGGCTTTTTTCCCTCTTGGGGAGAAGCCTGCTGCAAGTCTTACCTGAACAGGTATGCCTGGTCTGAGGGCTCAGGGCGCATGGCTGCTGGTCCCTACTCTGAGCTGGGCTCTCAGAATCCCTACTTTGGAGAATATTTTAGTTCTCCATGTGCTTGTGTTTTCTCAGTTTGTCTAACCTGAGCAAAGAAGACATATGCTGTGTGTTCAGCTTCCTTAGTACTCTATAATTAGTATTTACTGTCTTCCTCTTCAGTTCTCATAGAGCCGTAGAATTTTAGAGTTCAAAAGAGGTTTTTAAAATGACTTGGTGAAGAGCAAGCAGATGGGGAGTGGGGAGGGGTAAATTCAGTGCACACTGGGTGACGGGCACACTTATAACTTTGAATCAAACTGTACAGAAGCAATTCATGAAACCAAAACATTTATACCCCCATAAGATTCTGAATTAAAAAAATTTAAAGTAAAAATGACATGGATGTATTTCTGCATCTCTTATCTGAGCCCGCCTGCCACGTGGCCAGTCAGCACATACCTGCACATACCTGGCACTCTCCAGAGGTGGCCCCGTGTGTCCAGGCACGGTCTAGAGCCTAGACTATACTGAACTGAGCACATGGGGCTCAGAATGGGCAAGGCTGGGTTTACAGGCCTGCCTGCACTTGGTAAGAAATGTTTACTCATAGTTATCTTTGGGGGGAGAGTACTGGCCTCATCCTGCTCCCTTTCAGGTAAACTTTTTGGAAAATTTATTGTTCAATAAGCTGTCAGAACTGTCTGAGGGATCAAGTGATTTCTCTGTGTCTTGGGCATCGCATTGAGAAATTTCGCACCACCTCAGTGTACCTGCTGCATCCTGAACAAATCCCAGCTCGTGGCTGGTCCTCAGCTGAGCAGTTCAGCGATCCTCACATTTGTTTAACCTCCTGGCCTCAGTGCTCCAGGTAGGGGATGCAGCCCAGGTGTGTCCGGGAAAGCCTCCTCTGGAAACTGAGCAGGGTGTGTAGTCTGGTGGAAGAAAATAAAACTGCCATGAAGTTCTACCTTCAAGAGGCTAAGGGATGACTTCAAAAAATGCACTTCAGATATACCTGCCAAGGGGAGATAGATGGATTCGGGTCTTCTCATCTGTGCTGTTTGGTCTTCAAGGCGTCAGGCACAAGGATGGCTTCTGTCCCTTAGAGCAGTGTTTTCGAGGCTTATCCACGGTGCAGCATGTGTCGGTACTTCATTCATTTTGTGAACTAATAATTTTCCATGGAATGAATATATCGTGTTTTGTTTATCCATTCCTGAGTTGCTACATGTGGATTGTTTCTGCTTTTTGGCTATTATTATGGGTAATGTTTCTATGAACGTTGCTGCACAACGTTTTGTATCGACATAGGTTTTCAACTGTCTTGAGTATACATGCAGGAATGGAATTGCTGGGTCAATTAAGGTTGCCCTTAGTAACCTTTAAAAAATACTTATTTTGTTTGTTATTCTTGGGCCCCTATCTCTTTTCTTTGAATTTATATTCACTTTCTTTGTGCTGAATGTTGTCGGTGATTCGATAGAAAGTTAACGTTGTAGGTAGAAATAATTAGAAAATTACTCAAGTGGTTAACTGGGCATGGTAGTGCATGCCTGAAGTCCCAGCTACTCAGGAGGTGGAGGCAGGATTGCTTGAGCCCGAGATTTTGAGGATGCTGTGAGCTATGATGATGCCTCTGCACTGCAGCCTGAGTGATAGTGAGACCCTATCCCCAACCCCCCAAAAAATGATTAAAAAAAGAAAAAAATTACTCAACAGAAATAAACTGAATTGTAATTATGCGTATTATATAAGTATCTGCTAGATTATGTTTGCCTGTGTTCTTTTCTTTACCTTGAAGATTTACATCAACTTTTGTTTTCTTTTCCAGAATCGCAATGAAATAAAAAATGGCACTATCCTCCGATTAACCACATCGCCAGTAAGTTGAGCTTAGTTTAAAGCTTTGCAGCAAACTCTTTGCCCTCCACTTCTGCTATATGTGCGTAGGGGATATTAATTTTTAAGGGTAACTTTAGTGCAAAACCAAAGGTCTCTGAAATACCCTCACATGCAGATTCTGGATGAGCAGGAATGCTACCCCCTTACACTTCCCATTCTGTAGGAGGAGAAAGAGTTTATCCCAGGTCAAGGACTAGTAAATGGATTGTGAAACCTCTAAAGTTTGAGTTGAGTGATCACCTCAACAATTTGAATATTATAGCATGCTGACTGGTTTACCCACCTGCCCACACACCCACCCTTTTGCTCACCATCTGAGCAACTTCATACAACAAACAAACAAAGCCAAAGAAAGCCTGTCACTTCCCTTTAATGTGTGTGTGTGTGTGAGAGAGAGAGAGAGACAGATAGAAATGAAGAGTTTAAGCATTTTCTAGCTTCAGTAGTTACTGTGACAATTCAATTTAAGAAAATACCATTTAGAAATGTTGGCCATTTACAGTGTCACTGACAGCTGATTCTAAATAAAGAATTTAAGTCTTCTGAATGAAAGCTGCCGAACAAGGTGCTGCAAGGTGCTGCGGTATATTAGGCTATCGTGGCCGATGACACCACTTCCCTTTTCCCACTTGCTTGCAGATACTTTGGGCAGTAAGTAGCATTAGCGTATTTCACAGTGCGTTTTATTGCTTTCCCAAAAGATCATCTGCACAAAATACACCAAGTGTTACTATTTTCACTCTGCGTAAGTGATGAAAACTGTGTCTAACTATCGTTTTTCAGTTTCCACTGAAGCCATGTGGTGGGCTAAAAATAAATTTAAAAATTGGGAAAAGCATCTGGCTGAAATTAAACTGTGGGTACTGTAACTACCACAAATTCTTATTGTTGACAATTATATTAGAGAGTCTTAAAAGCGCCTAACCATTTCACCCAGTAACATCTTGAACCTAAACAAAGTAATGAGTTTAGTAGAATACGCTGCTGGGGTTGCCTGAGCTATCTCTGATGCTTTCTTTGCCACTTCCTGGAAATTATAATTGTAACTAATGTTTCAGTGGCTATGTGATAAGCTGAGATGTTTTTGTCTGACTTTAAATTGGTATTCATACTTGAGTCAGCATGAATTGATGTTCATTTGACCTTTAGAGACCACTGTTTTGTTTGGCTTCTATTTCTCCTGCTAAAAGTACTCATCTGCTTGCTGGGCAGAAAGAATACAGCTTGTCTTTTATTTCACCTTAGAGCCAGAAGGGTTCAGCTAAGGTTCGGCTCCCCTTTGATTGCACTGGGTTCATAAACACCATCTCCAATCGAAGTCACTTTTTAAAAGATGGTTAGTGATGGGCAGAGTGAAGTTTTCAGCACTGCAAGTAAGCATGCTAATACCAGGGGTGGTAGAATTCGTGTTCTTCAGGTAACGACCCTTAAATGCACAGCTCAGTGAATGGGGAGACTGAAAGGCCGTCCACAAGGAAGGCATTATTTAAAAAAAAAAAGGAAGCCCACCTAATAGAGACAGCTTTGCATTTCTCAAAAAGTAATGATTCCCAAGCTGGATCAGTTATGGGACTTTAAGGATACTGGTGTCTGGGCCTCTATTGAGAGGTTGGATTTCAATATCTGGGGATGGGGCCTGGGAATCCGCATTGTAAGCAATCGCATTATGGTTTGGCTGTAGCCACAAGGTCTAGAATTGGGAAATTATAAGCAAGATATTTGGTATCTGTAAACTTCATTTGTTGCTAGGTTTTTTTTTTATTAATTTGCATTTAACCAAAGAATGCATGTCACACATGCTCTTTCTTCGCTTTTTACATACATGAAAAAAAAATGTTAAATAAAACTATCTTCATCAAGTTGGCTAGGAAGTATTGGAGCACCATAAAGGACACAGCTAGTGGTGTGATACTGGTTTTTAAATTCCCTCCATCCACCTTAGCTGAAGTCTCCCAGCAGCCAGATAAGAACATACCCACACCTACCCAGGCACACGCAGTTCCCTTCGAAAGGTGTGGCTTAAAAGGATAACTTTTACCTCCACTCTGTCAAAGGTGGGCTTTTTGTTGATTGATGCATTTGTTTTCTGTTTGCCTTTATCACAGAACAGTCTTTTCCGGATTGTTCCTGGCAAAAGAGGTGTTTAATACTAAAAGATCTAAGTAAACAGTCTGCCCTGTTTTTCTTGTGAAGCCCTTATTCTTGGCTGGTGGTTCTCCACTGGGTGGTAAATCTTTAGGCCATCTGGCTAGTGGCCGTCTTAAACATGCATATCTTTCTCATGTGTTGTCTTCATCCATCTCCCCAGTACCATAAATACACAGCCAGGAGCACACTCGGAGAACGTGTGCAGATGTGAGTTGAGTTTCGAGCAGCTCAAGGTCTGGAAGCTTCAGACGTGTGGCTGAGAGTATCTCTCTCTAGCTGTCATCATAACAGCCACTGTGGAAATCAAGTCTGAGGCCACACTTTGTGTGAAGCATATGTTAAATCAGCTTTGCCTGTTGCTCCTATTAAAAGCCACCTAGATTGTCAGACCACTGTTATTTCTTACACTTTCCTGAAAGTTTTGTTTCAAAAAGTGCTTATGATTAATATATCTGTAGTCTTAGAGTAGGGAGAGCCTCTTAAGTAGGACGCACAAAAGAATTCTGGAAGCCATAAAGGAAAAGATCAATAAAATTGACTATCACAAAATAAAAACACCCTACAAAGCCTTTACGTTTGGAAACAATTCCAAACAGGGCCTGTCCCTTAATTTGCAAGATCTATTATGAATGGATAGAGAAACTGCCCCAAAAGACAAGTTGACAAAAGCTATGAACAAGGAATAAAAAGGAAAAAATATATAGATTAATATATACATACATGAGAAAAGAACCTCAATTTCTCTCTTAGGTCATAGAAATCTATACTCTTAGAAAATTAAGCTGTGCGGTCAGGATTATAAATTGGCACAGCCTCTTTGAGTGAAATTTAGCTGTATCCACCAACATTTGTGGATGTATATATGTATACATGTACACATACACACACACACACATACACACCCCTTTGTCTTAACAATTGTACTGCTTGGAATTTATCAGAAAAATACTAGGGGGCACATACGTACAACCACACACACAAAAGCTGGGGACTTGCTACCTGTCTAGCAGTGGGGCTTAGGAATTGCAGGTGATTTCCATGGCATAGGATATTTTACAGGTGTGAGGTGAAGAAGCGCTCTGTGCTGTCTCAGAGGATCTCTGAAGTCCGTTACTAGGTGCAGAAGCAGGTTGCAGAACATCGTGTACGGAAGATGCTGGTTCTGCACTTGGAGAGGAAGACACACACTGATAAAGGGATAACAGTGTTCTCAGGGGGCCCACAAGAAAACAGTAACATGGGGCTAACTTTATTTTTTATTCTCTCTCTTCTGGTAGTATTTACCTATTTCTCTGTATCTCATGTGCCGGCATTATTTTTAACTAAAGAAATGCACAAATATTATGAAGTCATTGAAGTACACAGGAGCAGAATCCTAACATCCCATGCTAAAACCATTTCCAGGATTCCAGTCTCTGGGGTTTGTAAAGAGCCCTTTCACATATGAACTGAATTCTTCTCGCACATTACTCCTCATTTTGGCCCTGGTGGACACAGAAACCAAAATTGCTTATCAAGTACCTCCTGGTGCTCTGTCAGCTCTCGGTGTAATCCTCCCTTTCTGTGTCTTCCATTTAGGGAACCAATATTAGAATTATCTAGGTCAGGGGGCCTGTCATAATAATTTTGGGGGATAGTTCCCTCTGGCAATAAAAAAAAAAGGCATTGTCTCAGTCACTGTGTAAATTCAGGTTATCAGAGATTCTCAACAATAGACCACTAACATTTTTTTTAATTGTTGTAAGTTCAGCTTTTTAATTTTTCTCCTGGCTTGGGAAACTACAAAAGACAAAAAGAAAAGACGTCTTGAATTCTCTTTCTTGCCATGGTTCTAAGAGGCCTGACTTAGAAGGAGGAAGCCAGTAGAAGCTGCTAGGCAGGGAGATGGCAGGATCTCTCTGGCTGCTGACCAAGAACAGATTGCAGGGCTGGCCAGGGCACAGGGTCGGAACTTCTTGCAGGAATCCAGGCAGGAGATGAAGATGGCTTGGGCTGGCTACCTTGTAAGATGTGGAGAGTTGGAAGGAGCATTCTGGAGGGTGAGGGCTTCATACCCAGGGCTTCATACCCAGGGCTTCACACTGTGGTGCTCCTTAAGGATGGAGGTTCTGCTGGCCCTGGTGGTTTGGCAAGACAGGTAGTATGCTGTTTATTGGAGTAGAAAGCTGGGGTGAATGAAGAGTTTGAGGTGCCCGTTTGTGTCCATGGAGACGTGTCAACTAGGCTGTCGGGTGTGTGTCTCATGGGGCAGCCTGGAGAGACACCAACCTGTAATGCATTTAAAGCTGTGGGCTAGAAGGGCTCATGATAGGGAAGGTAGAGGTGAGCGCAGCACAGAGCTCTGGAAGATGCCCAGGTTTAGAGGAGGAGCCAGGCAAGGGGAGTGAAGAAAGTGTTTGGAGAAGGAGAAAGTACTTAAGGAACTTAAATTGCAGACTCCCTCACACCCTGCCCCCCACGGTAAAGATTAGATGGAGACCCCGAGAGCATCTTGGTGGAGACACTCTCCTGTAGGGCTGGCCATGTGGCCTCATTAGAGTGAGCAGATGAGCTGAAGTGGGGGCAGCGACTTGAGAGCCACCCCTTATTCCAGAGCTTTTGCTGAGAACAGGAGCAGTGAAACGAGGGGGTAGCCGTGGGGGGATTGGCTCAGTGGATGTTTGCACGTGTTTGTTTGTTTTGTACGATAGGAACTCTTATAGACCTTTGAAAGTAGAAGTGACCCCCTACAGAGAGATGACCTGAAAGGCGGGATAATATTAGAGTACCTGAATACATGTATTTATTTATTCATTCATTCATTCATTTAGGGAAATTGGTTTTGAGCTCCTGGTAAATGTCAGGCACTGTTCTAAGTGCCAGGTGAGTTTACCTTTTAGTAGATACACACATCCTCATACACATACCTACACCCCACGCCCACAAACCATAAAATACATCTGTGTCCTGGCAGTTTCTTTTAATATCCGTCATGTGCATAGTCCCATCCTGTCTTATATTCTCTAAAAGTTTCATTTTTCATTCCATACACTATTTCATCCTGTGACGGTATCATGGGTATTTCACTCTTGTCCTATTGGTGAACGTGGTGGGGGTTGCTTCCAGTGTTTGACTATAAATGCAATTTAAGTTCCCTAAATGCACCACACCTGTCTGGGAAATTTAAATTCATCCTTCAGGGAAGCACATCTCCATCCAGATTCCTCCAGCTCTGCACGCTCAGGAGCTATCTGGACCACCTGGCCTGCAGCTCCTCTCTCCTCGCCTCCTCCCACTCTCCTGTTGTCCACAGGGCCAGACACTCTGGTCCTTCTCTCCCTCCAGACTTGCCGGGCTTGTTCCACCTGCCGGGCTTTTACATGAACCTTCCTGCTGCCCGGAATATGCCCTCTCCCTGGGGTGGTTGGCTCCTCCTGTCAATCAGATCTTCCCATAAATGTCACTTCCTGAGGTCACTTATTCCTAAAAACCACTCTGTCCAAAGGAATCACTAGTCACTTTCTATCACAATCTCTCTAATTTTAGGTTTTGCTGTAAACCTTGTGAGTATTTAATTTATTACTAATTCTTTTTATTATCGTCCTCCCACGCCAAGATGGGTAAGCCATGGGAGGGCAAGAACCTTGGCTGTGTCCCGTGTGCAGGACAGTGCCTGACTTGTAGTCAGCTCCCAGAAGTGTTTATTGAGTCAGTGGGTGGGGGTGTTGAGGATTTGGAAGGGACATTGCTGGCTAATGAATAACTGCAGAGACCTGTCTGAATAAAGGCTAAGGAATATTATATGCAGAGTGATCTACCATAACTGATGTCCAAAAGTCAATTTTCCTTTCAAAACCCCAATATATTATTAATAAAAACTTTTATTTCCACTTTTTTGTATGATAAAAGTTTTGTATCCAGATTATTTAGAAATTTGAGAAAATGAAAAGAATGCTTGTCTTCTAATTCCAACTGGAAAATATCTCATAAAAATGCTCTGCCAGTTGGACATATTATTGTGACTGGAGATCGTGTCCAGGGCTCATGTCTACGGATCACCTTTTCCTGGCAGACTCCGTGGTGACGGAGAGAACTTTCAACAGGGTCTGCTCAGGGTCCTCACTGTGCCTACTGTGGGGATAAGGAGGTCGAGAGGGTGAGGAAGAGCTCACTGCAGCCCCAGAATTCATCAGTGACTGAGCTGGAGCTGGGCTGGGCTCTGAGTCCTAGTTCAGGGAGCCGTCTGCCATGGTTCCCCAACCCCTTTAATGACACATCCCTCCAGTGGTTCACCTGTGTCCTAAAATGAGGAGGAAAACTTAACCAAAAGCAAACACTGTCTGGGTGGTGCAAAAGCAAATTGCACATTTATTTTTATTTTTTATTTTTTGAGACTGAGTCTCACTTTGTTACCCTGGGTAGAGTGCCCTGGTGTCATAACTTACAGAAACTTCAAACTCTTGGGCTCAGGTGATCCTCTGCCTCAGCCTCCTCCTGAATAGTTGAGACTTTAGGCACGTGCCACCGTGCCTGGCTAGTTTAGAGACAGTCTCACTCTTGCTCAGGCTGGTCTGGAACTCCTGAACTCAAGCTATCCACTTGCCCACTTTTTAAAGAGTTGCTTGCTGAGATGCTGGTGCCAGGGAGGAGCAAAGCCTTCTGTGAGAGATGACAGCACTGCCACAGGTCACCATATTCCCCTGTACAAGAGCCGTGCTGGGGAGGGCTACATGTTACTGGAGGAACTTTTCAGGCCATTGGAACTTTGAATGTTACAATTTGACACAATTTGGGGGAGAATTTTACTACTGTTACTCTTTACCCCCACCAGTGAGGGCATTGCTTTGCTGTTCTGATAAGTGACTGTTTGGGTAAAATATTTTCAGTATCTTACAGCCTTCTCATTCATTAGAAGCTTTGAGATTTAGGGGAGTGATTCAGTCTTGATTCCCTCTACTTGGAATACTATCCTTTTCAAATTTCTATTGTAGTCTCTCTTCCCTTCTTTTATTTAAAATTGTATTTATGTATTTACCTTTAAGTAGGTAATGTATCCAAGGCATAGCAATGAAGTAGAAATAATGGTGTTACAGTGTCTGTCTACTTAGCTTCCACATTATTGAACATTTTCTTAATTTTCTTAGCAAAGGATATTCCTGAAAAGTCCCATTTTTATTAGAGCAAGCAGGTTTTCTTTTTGGTACAGTAGGCCAGGAGGGCCCCCCAGTGCCCAAGCTGGGGAAGATGAAGTGGTAATTGAAAAATGGCATCAGAGTGGCTCTCATTCCTTTATGATTGGGAGATGCAGGGGCCTCAGTGAGTCTGACACGCGTTTCCCGGCGTGAGATTCCAGCACCAGCAGCATCAGTAGGGCCTGGGGGCTTGTTAAGTATACAATTTTGGGGACCCCACAACAGGCCTGTAGAACCAGAAGCTCTACAGGTGGCCTGTAGTCGGTGTGCTGAGAAGCCGTCCAGGTGACTCTGGTGCAGCAGCAATCTGGGGTCCACTGCCCAGGTTCTGTCTCAGCTCCAGCCCTGATAAGCTGTGTCACCTGGGTCAAGTTCCTTAACCTTTCTTGCGCTTGAGTTTCCTTTGCCAAATGAAGGTAATGAAAGTAGCTATCTGTTAGGACTACCATGCAGATTAAATGAAACTCTTCCTGTAGGTATTTGAATAGTGGCTTATGAATAGTATAGATGACTGTTAGCTGTTTTTATTACTATTATCAACTGTGCCAAACACTGCTTGTTAGCATTAATAATTACAACAAAATAATTTTTAAGTCTTCATTATTACTCCTCATAGAGGAGCAATATGGCAGACTCCCTTGGAGATAAAGCTATTTTTTAAGCAATTAAAGTGTTTCACTTGGGTTAAATGTTATATATGAACGCGAATGGTGTACATCTCTTGGAAAATTTTGGGAATTAGTTGATTTTTTTTGAATAATTTAGAAAGATCAATGAAACGATTCTCTCCCACCTCCTCACTCTGCCGTTTTAAAAAAATGGGGATTTAGGACTTGAGTCTTAATTTGTTATTTATCTGTAAATCAGTGAATAAATCACTAGGGAGGACTCTTGTTGTCCTCCCCCTTCCTTCTCCTTTTCTAATTTCTGAGGCAGAGTGGGTTTGGTTATAATTAAATTAGAGGTCCCAGCACATCTCTCACCAGGGTGGGGCATGGGTTCCTTCCATGTCTTAGACCCTGAAGAACTGCAGGGCTTCCCCTGTTAAATCTGCCTCTCTCCTTGAAAGCTGCTTCCAGTCTGTGGTGGAGGGGAAGTGGGCAAGGGGGAGGGCTGTGGGTGCCCTGGGGTGCTGCCCTTCAGCTCTCCACCTCTGGGGATTCTCTCCACTCCCGGTGGAGTCTGTGGCTGCCATCAGTGTGGTTCTCAATGGCTGTGAGAATCCCCTGCCTCCATTCTGAAGCCTTAACCTGGTGGTAGTTTATAAGGGGTGGCTCAGACGTTTGGAACCAGTTTCTATTCAGGAGAGGTAACCACCTTCTTGGGGTCAAATACCCCACCTTGCCTTTCTCTAAAATGTAACAGTTTCAAAGCAGAAAGCAAGTGCCTGCAAGGAGAATATGATGATGGGAGAGTGTTTCAACCACAGTGGTTTTAAGTTAAATAAAACTAGATCAGATACTTAGTTATTTCTATGAAATAAAAACAGAGGCAGAGCAATTTAATATTTTATTTTTCTTACTGCTTGCCCCAGCTGAAAGATAGGTATGAAAACCGTAACTGGCAGCTTAGCAACCACTGGAGCTCAGTGGTTAGGGTGCCAGCCACATACAAAGAGGCAGGTGGGTTCGAACCCCGCCCAGGCCAGCTAAACAACAAAGACAACCTCAACCACCTCAACAACAAAAATAGCCAGGCACTGTGGCAGGCACCTGTAGTTCCAGCTACTCGGGAGGCTGAGGCAAGAGAATTGCTTAAGCCCAAGAATTTGCTGTGAGCTATGATGCCATGGCACTCTACTAGGGGTGACAAAGTGAGACTCTGTCTTAAAAAAAAAGAAAGAAAGAAAATCATAAATAGGTGAATGAGATATCTAGACTACAAATTATCATCCAGAAGTTCAGGTTCTCTGACATATTTCCATTCCTCTCTGTCCTGCGTACAGAAGCGAAGGGCAAATGCCTCAAAAGGGAGAAATCTGATTCTAGACTGAGCTGTTCATTTGGTTTCCTGATCATTTCATTTTAAATTCAGGCACTAAGTAGCCAGGGCATGGGAAACACATTGTTGGAAAATGAAATTTCCAAGCATCATGGTAGTGCTGTAAGATTTGCAGTAACCCAGAAAGATTATTTGGGTGTCTAATGAAGCTTCTGAAGTAGCGCGTAGGCAGTTACTACTCACAGTATTGACTGCACGCCTGAGCGTGCTGTATAAATTTGTGTAATTGCTTAACTAAGCAAATAGCCTTATGTGGCTTCTAGGTAATCATTTTACTTAAAAAGTAAACATTCCTGCATCTCTCCCTCCTTTCTGCCACACCCTGTTCAGTTTCTGTAGCTGTAATATACTTGTGCTTTTATTCTTGCTTTTCTTTGAAATAGAAATACAATACGGTGCCTGTCGAGAGAACACAGCTGGTTCCCATTCTGAAATGAAGGGACTTTTCAGGAAGGTGGAGTGTTTGGGTTGCAGAGCTGCCCTCGCCCTGCCCACTCTGTGCCGTGTATACATTCTGGTGCTTTTAGCCTTTGTATCTTTGCTCCTCAACGAAACATGGATTTTTTCATCTGTTGTGGTTTCCTTGGTGAACACTCTTCCTTTTGCTTTTGCCCCCGTGAGGCTCAAAATGCCCAGCAGCTCCATGAACGAATCCAGTCGTCGAGCATGGACGCCAAGCTGGAAGCGCTGAAGGACTTGGCCAGCCTCTCCCGGGATGTCACGTTTGCCCAGGAGTTTATAAACCTGGATGGCATCTCCCTCCTCACGCAGATGGTCGAAAGTGGCACTGAGTAAGCATCTTTTCACGCAGACTTCTGTCCTGTTTGTTTCAGTGTTTCGAATATTGTTACATTATTCTTTACACATGCAATTTGTAGTGTTAAAGGCCCACAACTTGGCTAGACTCAGGGAAAAAGTGGTTTTTAAGATAACAGCTACGTAGTGTGGATTTGTAATTCTAGTAGCTCTATATCTTCCACCCTCCAGCCAGCCAGTATCTGAAAAAAGATAGGAATCCAACCAGTATCTGAAATTGCAGATTTATGAGAAAAAATATTAGGTCCCTATCTTTTGCCAACATTAAAATTGTAATCATACAAAATATAAATCACTCATATCCCTTGCCCATGCCCAAGAAAAGTTCTCCATTCCTGACTCCTTAAAAAAATTAGAATGCCTACTTACGTTTCAAAGTAATAAACCAGTTCTAGATGTCATCCTTTAAGTTAGTTAACAAACTTAACACTTGAATGATTAAATACATGTCATTATTTAAAATTAAATACAAGGAATATGTATTGAGTACCTACTGTGTGCAAAAGAGTAGAGGGTGGGAGCATTGTTAAGTATGAATCTTGCCTTTCAAAAATTGAACGAGACTATAGGCAGAATTCAATTAAGTACTTGTAATTTTTCCTAAGAGCTAGGAGTCTAGAGAGCGGACTTAGTAAATCTCCAAGAGCCTCAAAGGGGAGGTGACTGTGAACTTGGCCTTGAGGAGTTTGATTTTCATTATGGAGAGGAAGGGATGGCTGTTTCCAGCTGGGGTGCTCAGCTTCTCAGGGAGGGCTGTGATTCTGCAGTGTGGTTGGGGAGTATAGGAGCCAGGTGAGGCTAGCTCAAACGTGCCTGAAGAGACCACCAAATGCCGGGGCAGAGTGAATGGGGAGCTGCCCCCCACTGTGGTCAGGAGCTACCAGCATAGACCTGAGAGTGTATAGTTGAGAGCATGTGGACTGGCTTCATCAGTAAATAACATACTAATATGACAAATTAATAATTTGTAGAGTTGAGATATATATTTAGTGTGAAAGAGTAGATTTCATCGAGAATTGGGATTTAAACCTAGTTTGTTTAAATCTCTCTTCAGTTCCAAGTGATACCAAGAATGAGCGGATGACTGTACATTTGGAGAGCTGTCTGGGCCCCTCCCTGCTTCCTTCCTCCTCCTCCTCCACTTGGCATTATTTAGCTTGTGCAGTTGGTACTAGTGAAAGATTCTTTTTTCCTTATTGCAAGACAGGATGTTCTTTAGAGTTTAGAGTTGAGGATCTTACTTTACAGATAAATAGAACCTCTAGAATGAAGGAGAGGAAAACATAATTAAGTCAAGGAGGACTGACAGTCAGGCTGGGGTGATCGGGAAAGGGTCCACTGCAGACAGGTTTGTGTTTTGAATGATGACGGAAACTCTGCTCATGGAAGTTTTGGAGTTCTCCAACTTGGAATGGCACAAGAGACTTAAACCCTGCATGTCATCAAGATCCAGAGTGGTTACTGTAAATTGAAATAGGAGCTTGAAACAGCCAGAAGGAAGCTGAATAAGTTCAGGGTCCCTGAACAGAGGAAAGGGGAAGAGGAAAGCTCCAGGCTGGAGTCTGGTATGGAATATGTCCTTGTTGGTGGTGAGCAACAATATGTTGGTGGTGAGCAACAAGCAACAATATGTTGGTGGTGAGCAACAAGCAACAATATGTCCTTGTTGGTGGTGGGCTGTGATTATAATCAGCTTTGGACATAACCATGGATTACTCCGTGGAGCTGCCAGACCAGGAAGGCCCATATCATTGACTTTTTTTTTTTTTTGAGACAAAGTCTCAACCTGTTGCCCTGGGTAGAGCGTGTGGTGTCGCAGCTCACAACAGCCTCAAACTCTTGGGCTTAAGTGATTGTCTTGACTCAGCCTCCCAAGTAGCTGGGACTACAGGCACCTGCCACAATGCCTGGCTGTTTTTTTTTGGGGGGGGTTGCAGTTGTCAGTGTAGAATGCTAGTGTTTTTATTGATTTATGTAAGTCTAAGCCATTGATTTATAGAGGACAATGTACTAGAGCAAGTTGCAATGTCACCTGCTAATAATATTAGGTAGTTCTACCACAGATAAGTAGACATCCAGGGGCTTAAGCTCTTGAATATTCTGAAAGATACTAAGTAAATATTGCTGAAATTGCCAGAATTGCAGTCGTAATTATAATTACCGTGGGGAAAATGTCTAAGGAGGGATGGATCCCTGTGGTCTGCACCCTGAATGGGGCTGTGGCAGAGCCCGGCACTTCCGTATTTTGGCAATGAAGCTGCGTGGAACTGCAGTGAAACTGGCACTTCAGTTTTTTGGTTTTTTAGTGTGTTAGTTTGCTCGAGCTGCCATAACAAAACAGGACAGGCTGAGTGGCCTAAACAGCAGAATTTTGTGTTTCCCCTCCCAGTTCTTGAAGCTGGGAGTTGATCAGGTTTTGCCAGGTTTGGTTTTTCCAAATTGTCTCTCCTCGGCTGCCTTTTCCCTGTGTCCCCACCAGGTCTTTCCTGTGTACAGGCACATCCTGGTGTCTCTTTTTTGTCCAGAATTGCTCTTTGTAAGGACACCAGTCAGGTGAGCCTAGAGCCCACACTAATGGCCCCATTTTGACATAATCTCCTCTTTCAAATCTCTGTCTCCACACACAGTCTCATTCCCAGCTCTGAGCATTTATAGCTTTAACATATGCATTTGGGGGGAGATACAGTTCAGCCTATTCATCAAAGGGACAAAAGTAAAAACTGATAATAGAAATTGGCTTTGACAACACTCGCACTTGTAATCAGCGTATTGCCTTACTCTGTCATTTCATATCCGCCTCTAGAGCAGCCTAAAAGATTCCCCAGCCCTCAGACCCAGGATTGGGGGCGGCAGGGCTGAATTATATCTCCATGTTACACTTAATCAGAGAGAATGGTCGTACTGAATGTGCTTCATGTCAGCCGAAGCAAGTGAAAATCTTCTTCTAGAAAAGTGTATCATGCTCATTAACATTTTAATTACAATCTTCGGCTGCATCACATCGTTGATGGACCACAGATACCAGGAGGATTCCCAGATTATTATGGCACTGGTCTATACAGGTGCCCTATGTTTTTGTCTTTTATACTGTATTTTTCCATGCCTTTCTATGTTGAGAGACACAAATACTTCCCCCTGAGGTAGAGTTGCCTGCAGTATTCAGTCCAGTAACAAGCTGCAGATTTGTAACCCAGGAGCACCAGGCTGCTATGCCCGGTAGCCTAGCTGTGCAGCAGAACTCAAGACCACTCTTGGGGGAGTTCTCTTCTGCATTTCTCTCTTACACTTTCCCATCACACTGTTTTGGAGAAGGAAGGATGTCTCTCTGGGTCACTTATGATATCCCTAAGTATCTAAGTTCAAAGTCATGCTGCTTTTAGAGACGGAGGAATGAGGGGCTGGAGCTCTTTTCTGCTGGTGCTCAGTTGCAACTCACGCGAAGTGAGGTGGCTCGTTTGATCCACAGCTGTTTTTTAGATCTTTTACTCAGATGAAAAAGAAAAGAGAAAGACATTTTTTTCTTATAAGGAAATCTGGTTTCTCAGTTAAACTTATAGCAAGACTTTAATTAATTAACAGGAAACCTTTGGAAAAGAAACTGCACAAATTAAATAGATCCTGCAATTTGGAAAGCATTTAGTCATGACTCCCGGGCAGACTTCCAGCTGGAGGAGGCGGAGGTTTTCGAAGCAGGACCTGTGGAAATTCTTAGTAAACACTGAAGAAACGTAGCTGGAATTTTTCTCCTTACTTTTAGTAATAATGAGTTTCAGAGATGACTTGCCTGCTGGTCATTACCTAAGGCTGAACTTTTCAAAGGTCTGTCTCTCCAGCTGGTACCAGGAGGGGCCGTGGGGCAAATCAGCAAGGAAAGAACAAAGGAGAAAGTGTCGTTTGGGCCAAGCACAGGGTTTAAAACCGGAATTGGATTTTCCTGTCTTGGTGGAATTTTGAAACCCCATTTCTAATTCTGCTGGAAACCTAAGTATGGAAGCAAAGTTGTAGAGAAACGTTGCCCAGCCTATGTAAGATAAGGAATGTTAAGGAATGGACAGTGTTTCCAAAAGACAAAACCCCAAACAACACAAAACAAAACCCTATGGGAGATGGGTATGGACAGATTTCTCAGAAATGATACATGTGTTTTATTTCACTTGGGAGAAAAAATTGTACCTGCAACTTTAAGTCCAATGTAGTGGATAATGCTATTCTTTGGGGGGGGGGTTAATGAGACACCATGTTTTTTGTGTATGTTTGGGGACAATTTACTTCTATATCCTTCCACAGCTAAATAGTTATTCATCACTGGAGGCAGAGAACAGGGAGAACAGTTGCCAAGAGTGAAAGGGCAGGGTGCTCCCAGTTTCCTTCCCACGTGGCAGTGTGACGGGAAAACTCCGCTGTTGCCATATGAGTAAGCGGTGGCACCACCCTGGGCAGAGAAGTTGACAGTGAAAAAGTTAAAGTTATGAATTTCCAAAGAATTTTATGGGCTTTTTTTTTTAAGTTAACTCTCTTTTCTTAATGGAAAATCATATTTATTGTTTAAAAAGTATTTAAATAAGCAGAAAGAAGGGTAAGAATTATGTGTGGTCTGCCTTTCCACCATTTAATACCTTGGTACTTTGTGTATATATGCACAGGCTTTGTAACAGCAGAGTTTTCATGTTCATGTGTTTATAACCTGCTTTTTGTACCTAACAGTATTTCCATGTTATTAAATATTATTCCTTGATCCTTTTTGTTGCCTGCACATTATTGCAATTCTACCGCTTGTTGAGGTACGATTGATACACAATGTAACATAACAGTTTGGAGAATATGCACAGCATTGGTTCATCAGTTCCTAGATCATTTATATTGTTTTCAGGGTTTTTTTCCTCTGAATATTCTCTATTTACTTTTAGCATAGTCTTTGTGATTATTTACTTTGCTGAAATAAAGTTTTTGACTCAAAGAATATACACATTTGAAAGCTGTTTTAAAATAAGGATAGTGGGCGGCACCGGTGGCTCAAGGAGTAGGGTGCCGGACTCATATGCCAGAGGTGGTGGGTTCAAACCCAGCCCCAGCCAAAAACTGCAACCAAAAAAAAAGAATAAAATAAGGATAGCCTAATAGCTTGCTGAACTATGCTCATTCGTGCTTTGCCATTCCTGCAGGAGTGGGTCTGTTTCTAATACCTTTGTCAGCACTGGGCTGGTGTTCCCTGAGGCTTTCTTGTTTTCCTAGGAAAAATAGTAGTGAGATTTTTGGGAAATTCTCATTAATCTGGGGAATTCATAAATGTTGTTTTGTTTGGTTGAGGTCTTTTCTCCAAAATGTGGCTATATTAGGAACAGTGGAGGGAGTCCCATAGTTACTTTAATGATAGGCAAAGCCTTTAGATAATTATCTTTTTAAAAAGCCCGACATCAATTGTATAAATTATTAATTCTCTACACATTCTGTCATACATATGACACAGAGGGGAAGTCGGACTAATGCTGAGTGTATGTAATATTGTGTGTGTTGTGTATAAAGATTGTTATTGCATTATAAAAACAATCTATTAAACTTTTATTATTTGAATTTCTCTTTGCCTGAACCATAGCTAATTTCATTTTCTAGGTGTTGTGAGAATTGAGGTGTGACCCGAGTTATGCCGCATGAATGTCTTGGCTTTGCTGTTACTCAGCCCCACACTTGAGATGGATTTGTAGATTTTCATTCATTTAGCACAGTGTATATTATTTGAGTGCTGAACAGTCTTCCTAGTGCTGGTTAGACACGTGAGCAGTAAGAAGAGATGTGTGTAGAAAATGCAAAGATGTATATGACAGCTTTTGACTGTGAGTGACCTTTTCTGAAATTTTGTTTTCATACAAAAGATGAAATTTTTTTGTGGAGGAAGTAACTTTGTTAGCCTCCAGAGACACAAACCATCAGCTCGAACTCATGCCATTGCTCATAAGGCTTGGCTGTTCTGGGAGGTCCGGGCCAGGCCACAGTGCTCAGTCTGCTCACTGCCTAGCAGCGAGGCCGGCCTGACATCATGCAAGTTTTACACTTCACCCCAGAGGCCACAGAAGAAACCAAAAGGAAGCCGCTCCGGTGGTGGGGCCTTCAGCTGTAAAGGCTGCCGGGATCTTCCTGGCTCACAGGCTGTTTTCCTGGAGGTGCACTCTGCACAGCTCAGGGCTCCCAGCTGGAACAACCCTTTGGGGCCCTGCCAGAAATTTGCATCACAAAATCCCAAGAGGCTCACTTTCTAGGGCTTTGTCTGAGGTTGCAAGGCAGAAAATTCCTTAAGCAAGATCTGCCGCCTCCTCTCCCCGTTTGCTTTCTCTGTCTATCACTCTGGCAATGGAAATGAGCAGGGGTCACACAGCCCTTTGGAAGGAAGGATTATCTTTTGCTGGTGAAAAGAATGCTATTCCTTGGGCCCAGTGAGACGTTTCTGGCCACTGAAACATCAGCCTTTCCAGAATAATTTCTCTTCTGGTCACATTCCTCTTAAAAATATGGGTGTGAGTGTCTGTGTGTGTGTAGACAGAGAGAGAGACAGAGGGTAACAGAGAGAACCACAGAATCCCGGTTAGAATAACAGACAAACGTCACAACAAAGATTCTCCTTCCCTTAAGAGTAATCTGAAGCCAGAGTGGGGATGCCACAGTTGAGAAGTGAGAAGGGCGGTGACTCAGCACTGGATTATCTCTGCCTTGTGGTCAGGGGAGCCTTCCAGGGTCAGGAGGTAGAACGCATAAAAAACATAAGGATGCTCAGCCCCCAGGCCAGAGAGTGAGTTTGAAACTTTACAGTGACTCCTTTATCTATCACACACACGTGTGTTATTTCAAAATAGTTTACAAACATACACAGAAGTTGCAAGAGCAGTCCAGAGAACGCCATTTGCTCCTCTGGAGATCCATGCAAGTGTCCCCAGCTGTCCCAGTTGTGGCCTTTAATACAAGCAGCCTAACTCAGGGTGGCACCTGGCCCCCAGTTGTCCTGTCCCCTGCTGGTCTCCCTCAATCTGGAATGTTCTTTCGTCCTTCCTTTCTCTCATGACCTTGACATTTTTCAGTCTGGGTCAGCTATCTTGTAGAATATTCATTCCCTAATATGGGTTGGTTAAAATGTAATTTATTAAAGGTAATTTTTGAGAAAAAGTAAAATCAAAACTCTAGTGTATTCATAGGAATCCTTGTTAATTTTACTCACATAATGGGGAACTAGGCAGATATTATAAGATTCAAAGGAAAAGTCAAAAGAACACAAATTTATACGGAGCAAAGGAATGCTGAAATGAATTGCAAATGGATACAAAACTCCTCTTCTTACTAGCAGGGAGGAAGTCAATTAAATCACCAACACACAGGAAAAAAAGATTTATATACATATACATATGTGTGTGTATGTGTGTGTATAATTCATAAAAATTAAAATATATGTGTCTATAAATACATGTATATGTATTTATGAGGTATGTTTATACATTTACATAAAATATATATGCATGTACATATCTCAGTGACTACAACTTATATAGTTATAAAATCCTTGTTAAAAAACAACAGGACTAGAATTTGATAGTCCAAAGGTTATGGATAGTGCTTAGTTTTCGATTGAAACACAATTTTTTTTCTACAGGTTTGTACATTTTTTTTCTATAGGTTTGCTCATGATCAGACCCAATATTATATGTCCTTGGCTGGAATGTCATAGATGCTCCTGGCATTTTTTTTTTTTTTTGGTCATTGTTGGCAAATGCTATCTCTTTGTTGTATTCCTGGTGTTAACGTTAACCATTCAATTAAGATAGCCTTTTCCAGATATCTCCATCATTACATTTTCCCCTACCAGTGTAGTTAATTCATAAAAAAAAAAAAAAGTGTAGAGAGACACTCTGAAACTATGTAAAATCTCGTTACTCTCCCCAATTTCACCCCCTCCCCGTTTTGGCATTGATGTTTCTTTTCTGAATTACTACTCTTATGATTTCCAATGGGGAATTTTCTAGTACTATCATTTCTTCTACATTTATTAGTTGGCTTTCTTTTGTAGCAAGAGCTTTATTTTATTTGCTTAAATGTTTATTTCTCATGAGGTGCTAGGGCTGGCCCAAACCATGTCCTGAGATCCAGTTTTGTACAGCTCTTTCCAGGTCGGTGTTCACTGACAAGTTGGCAATTGAAACTGATCATTGTGAGAGTAGTTACACCGTGGAGAGTGGAAAATGGTACAGATCAGACTTGTGTGTGTTTCCCCCAGAGCTTCGGTTTTAAAACATCAGCATCTCTCTGTATGTGTGGATTCATTCCTCCCTGTTTTATTTAGCCTTATAATAGGTCGTTATTACTATTTATTCTGATGCTCACTTGTCTCAGATTTGCCCGTGGGAGCTTCTTCAAGCCAATGTCTGTGTTCTATTGACTTATCTCCCGTCATTTTTTGAGTGTTCTTTTACTTTTGGGCTCAAGAAGATGTTCCAGCATTATCCAGATCTTTCCTTGCCTCAGGACCTGGTCCACTCCTCCAAGGAGCCCTTGTGTGTCCCCTGGTTCTGCTCAGGCCTGCCTCTCGCTGGCCACGGACTCCTTTCACTCTGCCCAGTGCCTTTTTGATGAACCAAGAATGGAAAATTTTATATATATATAAATTTATATTATATATTATATTATATAT